ATATACTCTGCTTCTCACCTTCTCTGTCATCATTGCAAAGTTGAAGCTATTAATTTATGAACTTTAAAGTCATTATTTTAGATTCTCTGTAAACACCCACTGGAATTCTGATTGCATCTGAACTGAATTTATATTTCAACTTGGAAAGAATTTGTTAAGGATGAAGTGTCTTTTGACCCATGAGCAAAGTCTATATTTTGTACTTTTTTAAGTTTAAAAGTATTGCCTCACTAATGTTCTGTTGATTTCATCACGCAGGTCTTTTACATACTTTTTGTCAGGTATGAAGTGTGATCAAAACATATAATGATGACTGAAAAATAAAAGTAAAAGATACATTGCCAAGAGCCCCCCTCAAAAATCTCCCGCTTGCCTCTCACATTCTTTTGCCACTTTCAGAAGTAGTTGTGGAAGCCATCTTACAGGAGTGTCTTCAGTTGTGTTGTTTGGCTGCCTCGGTGTCCTGAGTCAATTCAACATGTTTACGTCTCATGTTCCTTTTGACTTTGGGAAGGAAGAGGAGGAGGAAGAGGAAGGGGGGAAAGAGGATGGGAGGGGAGAGGGAGGAAGGGAAGAAAAAGAAGGAAGAGAGAGAGAGAGAGAGAGAGGGAGAGAGGAAATAGCCCAGTGCCGGATCTGGTGACTAAGGTGATGAGAACACAGTGACATGTTTTCACGAGCTGCCTTGCTGTTGGATGGCATCAGCGGGGCTGTTCACCTCATTTTTGATCATACCTTATAAAGACGGGAAAGAGGACTTCAGTGCTGCTCTGGAAAGAGGTGAGGAATGGTGGGATGATGGAATAGAATATTTGATAGAATATTTGAAGTGAGGGGGAGTTTCTTGGGGGCAATTAAGGGTAATGTGTCTTTTACTATAAATTTTTAAAAAGGTAAATAATTATTGTATGTTTCAGTCACCCCCGTACAGTCTTAAATAGTCCACATTTTGAGACCATTCTGATTAAAGATTTATTTACCAAAGTCTGCTGCTGGTATATCTGACACCTCTGGGTTCGTTGATCTGCCGTTTGCATTTTGCTTACTCCTCCTTTTTGTTTCCCTCTCCTCTTTGCGGCCTTCTTCCGGCTTATTCTTTGTGACTCAGATCTCTCTCTTTTGTAGTATTCCGGGCTACACCTGTTACTTTAGTGGCTGCTGTGGCATCTTTTGGCATTCAGTGGCAGACTGTTCCTGCCAGTCCCTGCGATCTCCCTCCTCCTAGACGTATTAAATCTGAGTCTTTCTTATGGCTTTCGTGTGTCTACTTAGCTTAGCGAGTAATTCCCCGGCGTTTTGATCCTATGGGGTATGGTTTTAGTGATGGTTGTGATGCCCTAATTTGCAATTCTGACAGGTGTTTTGTTTCTGGGGAGCTTTCCATGGAATATGTTTCTTTCTAACCTGATGCTGTTTTACTAGTTTCTGCGTTTATGGCCATTTTTATTCGATTTGAGACACAGGAGAATTGGACTTGCTGGGTATTCGATCTTTTTATATCTGTGTAAATAAATTTGAGCTCTCTTGGGGGCTGTTATTTGGAATCAACTTGATCTTTTCAGGACTTAAACTGGAGATCTCTTAGGTGGGAACACAGCAGCACTGACTTCGGCCCGGATCTGCCCTCTCCTCGGGGACTCCTCACAGAGCCCCACGGGCTGTGATGTCTCCAGTCTGGAGAACAAAGCCGATCATGGGCCATGTGCCCTGGAGGTGCCCTTCCTTCTGTCTGACCTTGGGAAGCTGCTCGGGAAGCACACGCTCATCTCATGCAGTGGAGGGCTCCTGTCTTCTTCCAAGTGCTAAAGTCCCCCCTCTCGCAGCCCTGCCCTTTCTGCCCTGTGGACCTCCGTGACATGGTCTCGCAGGGCAGCTCAGAGTCCTCCTTGTGCTGCCCCTGGAGCAGTCCCGATGTAGTCAGCTGGACAACAGCAGGGCTCCTTTCGCTTCCTGACTTAGAGGTTATGCTCATGAGTGGAAGTCTTGTGAGAATTTGCTCTTCAGTACCCAGCCGTTGTATAGCTGGATGAACTTGTGTGACAGCACTTCTAGGGGCAACATTGATTTTGTTCAATAATCTGTTAAAATTAATTAATTCTTACAAACGGATATTCAGTTACTAGAAATTAATATTATTTGATTACTATAAGTTAATAGAATAATAGAAATTAGAAATAAGTGAATGTTGAATTTCAACAATCATCAAAAATTCAAGATGGTAACGGGAGAACATTAACACAGCATAGAAATCTTTTAAGCACAACTTTCTAGACTGTGTACCCAGGAAGCCAGTCCTGACTTAGGCATATATTTTTCTGAGGTTAGAAATAAGAGCAAACTAAATTCCTGCACAGTTTGACTGAGTAGATTGTGGAGTTTCTGTAAATTATAATATTACAAAATCATTAAAATTTATGTCAGAAGACATTTTAATTTCAACAGGTAGCATTTCTAATATGGCGCGCCGTAGGGTTCCAGGAAGTCCTGTGCCTCACTTATGAGAGTGAGAGATGAAGTTTAGGTGACTTTCCAGAGTCCTGTCTACTTGGATTCTAAAAATTTGTTAAATTTCATTCTTTCTAGTAAAGTCAAACTATCCATGTTCTAATGCAGAAGCATAATATTTTCAGGTCTATATTTTAGAAAATAACTAATTGGAAGTGGTTTTCTGATAATTACCATAAATAGCTGAAGATTTTTTGTCTAGAAGTGGAAAGAACTTGAACAGTAAGACGATATATTTTAACCTCTTTATGTCTCCCTCTACTGCACTGTCCATCAGCCCAGTTTTGTGTCAGTGTGGGGTCCCCCCACTTTAGGTCAGCTGGCTATGTGGATACATTCCTTGCCTGTTTGGCTTCACCTCTCCTGTTCCATAGGTAGCACTGAAAGTTTTCCATCCATGGAACTTTCAGAGTTTGTTATGGAAATTTGGAAATTTCATAGTTTATTCTGATTTTGTTTTTCCCTTTCTTCCAGTGTGCTCGATATGACAACGCCTTCATTGCAGAGATCCTGATCGACAGAGGGGTCAATGTCAACCACCAGGACGAAGATTTCTGGACCCCAATGCACATCGCCTGTGCGTGTGATAACCCCGATATTGTGCTGCTGCTGGTGTTGGTAAGTAGACAGCGCAGTCTCTCTACTATTGGAAGATCAGATGCGCTCATTGCTGAGACAAAATACCCGACACTCAAAGTTAAAGGGGAGGGTTTATTTAGCTCACAGTCTGTAGAGGTGCAGTCCATAGTTGGCCAGCTCCAAGGCAGGGATGGAAGACAGGCATTGCAGAGGAGAAACAGCACGGTGCTCACAGGCAGCAAAAGCAACAAGGGGTGGGGGGACAGTTCATGGTGGTGCAAGACCACAAAAGCGACAAGAGTTTAACAGCATCTTTCTGCTCCTCTCATCTTATTCAGACTACCAGGATTAGGGCGGTGCCAAACCACTCACTCACATGTAGTGGTGTAGTAATCACACGCTCTTAATCTAGCATCACACACCCTGAATTCACCCACCTGTGACCAAAGCATGAGGCTTTGGGGGAACATCTATACCCAAGCCGTTGCTGATGACCCATCCAGGGCTATACTTAACTAGTCATATTTCACAATGTATAATTCTTCATTTGAAAAAAACCTGTGTGCGTGGCATTATTAATGATCCCAGAACACGAGGGCATTAGGGACAAGGAGGCGGGTCCCCTACTTCCAACAACAGCCCGTGTAGATGCCATGGCAGGCTCCGTGGTACTCACTTTTCCAGGGATACAAGTCAGTGTTGACTAGAGTGGTTCAATGGTTTTATTTTTCAATTCACTGTCACTTGCTAAATTATTAACCAAATGACATACAATCATCAGCCATGTCTTGGCTTTTTATTCACTCTTCTTTTCTCAGTTACACGTAGTAAAAAAAAGTGCCTACAACATTTGTTTACATGAAAAGGCAAGCTACATATAAAACAGTGGAGGCTGCTGCTGGTTGTGGTTACAGCTTAGATATTGATACTGTTGTTCACATAACTTTATTTTTGAATTGAGATTTTTTTCCCTGCTTATTCATCTTTCAAAAGGGTTTTAAGAAACTATGCAAGATTTTTATACTTAATACAGAAATATAAGGACACGTTGGGGTTTTTCTGCCCTTTTTTTTTTTTTTTGGTATTGGGGATTGAACTCGGGTCCTTGTGCTTGCAAGGCCCTAGCCCCTTTCCGCCCTTTATTAATAACACTCATGTAGTTGCTTAATGATTTCCTATTGTTTCCCTGGCTTTTCACATATATTATTTCATGTAAATGCTCAAGATTTCATATGGCAGCAAAGTTTGCTCGGTAGTGAAGGAAAAATGGAAAAGAAGGGAATGAGCCATTGGTAGATGTTGTGAAATGAACAGATTCAGCTGCTGGAGCAGAGAGGGGACCTCCTCCATAGTGGTCGGTTGATATATCTATGGACAGTTCAGCCACAGGGTGACCTGGGTGACATTGCTGCTTTGTGTGAGAATGAAGTGAGAACTTTGATTTGTAACTGTTGTGGCTTTCCTGTGTCCTAATGTATTTTACTGTGAACCTTAGCTGTGAGATTCGTGAACATTCTAAAAGCCTATTGTCATTTGCTTTCTCTAATTCTTGATTACACTGAGCCCTTTGCCAAAGAAGCCTCTTGGTTTTCTTTTCTGTCCCGCACGCAGAATGGCCTTATTTCTTCTCAGCAGTCAATATTCACGCGGCCGGCCATGCTGGAAACCTGAAAACCCCTCCTGTTCCCCTGAGTTCAGGCAGGCCTGGGAGCACATTAGTTTCATGGTCAGCAAAGGTGGCCTTCAGCAATCCTAGGATGTCTCAGCTTCCTGTCTGTGATGAAGCAAGACAGGAGGATCTGGGTCCAGCCTCGTGGACTACAGCTCAGGACTACAGCGGCATCCCAGAATTGACTCCCCAAACCAAGACAGAGGAAAACAATGCGAGCCCAGTGCACGACAGAGGCATGATTGCTGGGTGCAGCCGTCACACCCGTACACATTGGACCTTCCCCCACCCAGCACACGTCTTCATAGCGCAGATTGCGCCAGCATCCAGACGGGCTCAGGGGAGCAGGCTACTGAGCCTGACCTGTGGTGTGTTTGGAACTAGAGCTAGGGTTACAGCGGGACCCAAACAGCTACCTGGCTGTCAGTGCACGTGTGACTTCATTGTGAGGATGACTGGTGTTGGGGAGTTATGTAGGTCTCCCTGGGACTGTGGTATCAACGAAGACAGCTGTCTGTGTGTTGAGGTGAAACAGCTTCTCCCAAGGAAAATCAATAAATACTGGCACTGATCCCATGCTCCAAAATCAGTGTTTGGAGGTGGGGTAACAGCGTGAAGAAGTCCCGAACCACTGTCCTCCCTGGAAATGCCTCTGTCATTGTCAGGGCCAATGCGGCATTCGGTTCTTCTGGTTTATCTGCCTTTCTTTGATTTTTACTACCCGTCCGTATGTGCTGTTGGGGTGGTCAGCACATTCGTTACCGCTTTTCCTCGTTGCTTCACTTCCTCACGAGCATGTAGTAGTTTAAATAAAAACATGTTTTCTCTTTGTCCTCGTGAGAGACAGTTTCTGTAACTCTTGTTCCCATGGCAACAACTCAGTCCCATCAAAAGCTCTTTAAACATCTCTGTGTGCACCAACTTGGGTGATAACATGGTTCGATAATTCTTCATCAGCTCACACTTGTGGTGTTTATCAGAGAGCATCGGGTAAAGCGTTTATGCTGTGTAGTGGTCCACCCCTAAAATCCCAGTATTGGTAGGCTGAGGCAGGAGGACCCTGAGTTCAGGACCAGCCTGGGCTACAGAACAAGACTCTATGTTTAAAAGAAAAACAAGTAGGCATGGGCTTAGTCATCAGCTCCCAGCAAGTTACAGAAGCAGCAGCTAGAGCACCCTGTAAGGGTGCTGTTTAAGGGGTGTCTTCAGATTGAGGGGAGCCGTCTGACTTGCTAAATTCACCAACCAGCAAGTGAACGGAAGGAGAGTGGGCCAGTGTCCGGGGTCAGCCCGGATTTGATGTTGCCGTCAGGAGTTCCTGTCTGTGGAAAGCCGTCTCGTGACGCGGTCAGCCTGTGACATCTTCCAGTGCTCCTCGTCCCACTGGGTCTCCACTTTCGCTGCAAGTGCTTCCGCACACGGATGGTGGCCTTGTCTGCCCCACCTCTCACTGCAAGACAGAGCTGAGAAGCAGAAATGGGTTGTTTCATGTGTGATCACAGCATTGCGTCCGCAACAGTCACGTTATCCAGGGCTCTGCGATGCTGTTTCTCACCCCATGGAAAAACCCAACCCACCGGCCAGGTATCTGCTGGCTGTTCCCCCTCCATGACTCTTACCTGCTGATTACCATCTTTATTCACTTAACTAATGACTATTGAGCAATCACTTACTGGGTATTTGCCAGGGCGTCCCCAGAGGGAGACTGGAGTCCATTCTTTCCTTCAGTCTTCATTCATTTACTGACCAGTTACTGTGTTCTGGATGCTGCTACCCTGTGAGCGGGAGGACACCTTCCATCCAGGGGAGGGCAGAGGAGAAGGAGCCTCAGCGCAGCATGGGGGAGTCTATTCATGGGTGGAGCGGCTCTGGGGAGGCTTTCTTCACACAGCGCCGTAGCCAGCCTTACTACCGTCCATGGAAGCAATCTGCTCTTAAGTAGATGGCGATGAAATATGTCGACATAAAAATTCTAATTGCCATGAGCTTATGTTCCTGCCAACAACCTCTGAGAAACGATTTCCTTTACTTGCGGAATCAACTGCCACTGTACATGGTTTAGGGCTGTTTGTCTAATGCCCCACATCCCAAAGCTTCCCGCTGGGTACAAGACTCTGCAGCGTTTATTCTCCAGAAGGATCTGCCCCTCTTCTGTCTCGGTTAAAGAGAGCCGGCAGTGGACATGAGAAGCAGGAATCCCTGCTGTGTGGAGCTTTCATTCTACTGACAAGGGAAGGAAGCAACACACAAATTTAGTTTGGGATTGGATTTGGGAGGAGAGAAAGAACAAGGGACAGAAATGAATTAAGCGTTTTGGGCCTGAGAACTAGGAGGCTGGGATTGTAACTCTGCTGAAATGGGAAAAGTTGGAATATTGTGAGGGCGAGGGACTGGGCTCAAAAATGAATTGTACTTGAGTCACATTTTAAATTCTGTAGGAAGTCATCTGTAAAAATAATGGAATTGATTTTTGAGATGATTATGGACTGCGAATTGTTGCTAAGCAGAGGCAGCGCTGTGTGTGTGTGTGTGTGTGTGTGCGTGTGTGTGTGGGTGTGTGAATCTGTATATCCCCGTTAGAGTATCGCTACTTTAACTGAATCACAAATGCTTTATGTCTGGGGTAGGCGTGGCTCCCATGAATATTACCAGTCCTTCCGCAAAAGGTTACAATGCCCTGGTGGAGGCTAAGAATTAACGTGTACACAGCCCTCACTGCACGCCAGTATTTCTCTGTGTGTTTTACAATTGGGGAGTCACTCGGTGCCCACGGGGCTCTGTTTGGGGGTTCCTGCTTCTTACCCATGGGGGCGCTGATTCCAGAGTCCGATCCTCCTGCTGAGGGCCTGGGGGGCGTGGCCGAGACCTCGGAACCCTAACCCACAGCCACCTGAGCTGAAAGTCCCACCGCGGGTTAGCGTGTCTCCCCGCGTAACGTCGTCCATTTCCCTGTCTGAAAGTTTTGTCAGCCCACGTTTGCAGTGCATGAAGACTACATCCATCGTGTACACAAACACGAACCTAACACATCTTAATCCTTTTTACTTGTCCTCTCGATTTTCTCCCTCTCCTTCCTCCATGTCTTTATCCCCTTTCCTCTTACAAAAGCTCTATCTCCCTGTTTCCTGTTCTCTAGCTTTTATTTTGCCCTTTGATTCATTTACACTTCAGGTTTCTCATATAAGAGAACTCATGCGATTCCCAAGCTTGTGTGTCTGAACTTACGGTTGCACCTGGAGACCATACATTTCTCAGTACAGCACTGCCTGCTAACTTGTTTGCATAGATTTGGGGAGCAATATTAAGAAATACTGGATAGGCCATCCATTCTCACTATTCAAAGTAGCCTGACCTGCAGTCATCGCGAACC